GACCCAGTGGAGCCAAGGTCCAGCACAGGCACCGGTCCATGGGACCGCTTGCAATGGTTGCTGCCGTCAGCACAGCCCGTGTGTTCTTCCAACCTCTCTGACAATGACATTTCCAAGCCCCTTGCCCTCCCCAATGCATTATCTGCCACTAGGGACAGCCGGGCTGAATGAAGCGAGTTACAGCCAACCCTCTAAGGCCCAGGACATGTTGTCCATGGAAAAACAACACAGTCCAGAGAAACAAAAAGAGACTACCTGGCTGCTGTTTATAGACTTCTCAGAAAAAGCCAGCAGTCAACAGCCAAACTCGAACGTTCACGTCACTCCTTCGCTTATGGAAGGCAAGTTTACTAAATGCCTGGATGCTTTTCAGTCCAATATCCCAATCCCTGTATTAGCAACCATAATGTTGGAATAACTAGCAGGGCTTAAGCTGGTGCCCACTGGACTCAACAGGAGAGGCAGATGCCAAAGGCTTTTTTAGATACAGAACAGTATTTCTTTGTACCTTTCATTCTGTGGGTTGCTGGACACCACCCTCCATCACATGCAAAACAATTCCTGGATAGATGTTTCCACTAAAGATCTCAGAGAGCCTTGTAATTAGTGAGGTTCCCGGTATCTGGGTCATATGGATAAATAATATTCCTGCTTTGGGAAGTGTTAAGGGTCATTTGAGGCCACTCCAAGAATCAGCTGTAGAGTCAGGAGAAAAGCAGTATCTTTACACAAAGAAGGGGACCTAAGGGACTGACAGCCCATTCTCTTTATGATTGCCAACTGTCCAAGGCTCATCCCTCTGGCTGTCATTCACTAACCCCCTGCCATGAAGCTGCTGTTGCCCCAGAATGCTGTACCTGGCTGCTCCTATGCTGGCTGCTCACTCAGACCACAACCCTCCTGCACAAAGAGCCTGTCACTCCATTTGTGCTGGAAAACACAGAACAGTGCCTGTTATACCACAGCTTGCTTCAGTTTCTGGTTTCCCTCCTCTTCTCCCCTCCAGAAAACTATAGGCCACATTCACGTCAGATTACTCTCCCTTTCAGGAGGGTTATGAATCCAACATGAACGGGGATGTACAGCAGTGCGAGCAAGAGGAAACCTGGGTTCCCCAACAGTTACTTGTCATTCATGTGTTTCACTCCCATTTTACCTAACTCATCAGCTTGATGCACTCAGCAGAGATGCAAACTCTGCCCTCTTCTCTTGATGGCCAGAGCCTTGTCAGATGTTGCCCTAAAGTGCAGGACACTTGAATAGCGAGCTGGTGCTCAGTGTGATGCTGGCCAAGGCACACACACTCCATAGGCCAGGATGGGTGTGCTGGTGAAAGCTGTCTGCAACAGACTTCTTCAAGAACTATGAGGTTCATTCAGCCTTAGCTCTAAAGATGAAGTACTTGCATGGGCTTTGTATCCATTAGAACCATTAGAAAAGTGGTACTCAGGTAGGGAACTCATCAAGAGATGATGTACTCCAGCTCAGACCAGCAAAGCACTGGGCACTGAGGAGCTACAAACCTCATGATGATATAGGATCATTTAACCAAAAGTCATTAAATCCCACCCCTCTAGCTGTATGCAAACACACACTTTAGCTTAGTTAGCTAAATGTGTTAGCTTAGATGATGTGTTAGCTTAGAAGATTCCTCATACTATGTTAAGGCTAGAAGATTCTTACAGTGTCTATTTGTTACACACAACACATCCTAACACCACCACCACCACCACCAAAAAAAGTAATAAGCTAAAACCTGTGAGATAAGAGAGTAAAAGCCATAAAACCACAAATGTCCCAGAAGAAACAGGCAAGGGAATCTGAGGACCTGCCAGGATCTGTAGCTCTGCCTTAATCTTTTCCCTGGATAAACCATGGTGGTCACTGTCCTTGCCTTGTGCCAAAGTCAGTGGGAGCTGAGCACAGCTCATTCTTTAAAAGCAATGTCTCTGAATAACAAGCAAGCAAAGCACAGCAGTCGCTGAACCCAGTGAATAACGGGTTTCATAGGTGCTGTCAAAAGGGGAGAAGGAAAATCCCAGCTGGCTCCAAACAGCTTTCCCTGTGTGTTGGCAGGTCCTTGGTATTTCTCCCAGACGGGGAGGGCAAGTCCCAGCCAAGAGCCCATGGTACAGCACATCCAGGCTTACATAAACCGAGGGGCCTGGGTAATCATTAACACTGGCTTATTGCCACTGGCTTTGTGCTAGAGTCAGCTGGTTGGTTGGATTATATGTATGGTGGCCATTTAGACAAGGAGAAGGCTCCCAGCGCAAGGGTTGAAGTGGAAACAACCCCTCGGGGAGCAGGGGACTGTTGCAAACATGGCAGGGTCTAAACCCAGTCACAGTACCCTGCTCAATGCACCCCACAGGGGTACAGCTCCCTGAGCTCCCACACCAAATGCCATAGGAGCTTCCCTCTCCATAACAGACGTCAGGGGATCAGGACCCTTCTTAGGGAGTTTTACCTTGGCGCCTCCCAGGTGGAACACACCAGCAAGCAAGATCTCCTTCCTCTCTCCTTGGCATCCTTTCCAACAGTAGACGTTATCAGTGCAGCCCAACTTTATCTTATGCCCTATCTTTACCTTTCTTTGCTTATCTGATGTCTCACTTACGTGTCCTGTTACACTTTGCCTTCTATAACCCACTGCGTGTTATTGACGTGTGCTCTGTGCCACTGTCTGGGGCAAAGGAGATTTGGGATTTCTTGGTTCAGTTCCCATTTTCCCTCTGCGTTGCTCTGTGGTCTTGGACGCATCACTCCACTGCTCTGTTTAGCCATGGGTCACAGGAGCCAGGGCACCCTACAGAAATGTCACTTTACTCTTATCCCTTATGCTTAGTCCTTACCTTGAGTACAACCTTCCCAGCTGATGGCTCCTCACCCCTCAACACCATTCCTTCACCACCAGCTCTGATGAAGAGACTATAAACAGCCAGAAATACCCTGTAAAACCTTGTAGAAACATACAGAGATCTTGCAAGTGTTCAGAACCAGATCATTATCCTTGTTTGAAGCCTCTAACACTACACACATGTCCATGCTGTGATTCACACCTCAGAAACCCAATTATAGATGTTTTAAGTCAATGGGACTTAGGCATATGTAGAACGATGCCATGCTGTGCTTTGCCATGCAGAATTGCTGAAGCAGAGTCATAATAAACTTATTTACAGTTGTGGCATCAAAGCTCTTCAATATATATTTATCTTCAGGTGGGTGAAGAATAATCAGGCTAAAGGCAAGGCCACGTTTTCTCATGAATCAGCAAGGTCCAGGCAGGATAATTCCACACAAAGCAAACATCAAAATCTCTTGGGGAAATTCCTACTTTCTTTTTGTGACAAACCTCTGAAAACATTATGAATTCTCATGCAGAACTAATTCTTTTTTTCACAGCAAACACAGCCCTACTCTTATGAGCAAAAAGTGTTGCAACTTTTCCATAGACTTATGTTTCCTTACAGGTATTAGCCAAAAAACCCCACACAATCCACACTCAGAAACCACACTTAAAACAGGAAAAAGAAAAGAGAGATTAAGTAAGTGTTTCATGGAAAAATATTCCAGGCTAAAACCTAGCTTAGATGTCAGATTTCTGCTCCAACAGCAGGTATTTTACATTACTCCACTCCAGCTTTAAGTATCATCTCCCGCAGAAAAAGAGTAACTGTTGTCTCGCAGGGTGGATTGCCCATTGTCACAGCAATATCAGAACTCCAGGTGAGAAGGGCAGGAGACCAAGATGCTGGTTCGAATAAAGCAGCTGGTTTAATGCATGATGTCAACAGGGTGAGAACAGAAGGGAATCACAGATCCTCTTGGTGCAGGCTTTGCTAGCATAAACATGTACATGACTTAGGACTCAGAGTAGTCCTTAGGACTCTGGTCTTCAGGCTAGAGGAGGTAACAACAACCTGGAGTGAACAGGACTTAGTCTTCCTCATCCCATGGTCCTCTTGACAGTCTTATAGGGGTTCTCTAGGCAAAACAGTCAGGGTCTGAGAGCCCTGGCTCATCAGCTGGCGGGTTTGGTGGCTGTTCTTCAGGGAAAGGCTGTAATCCCCAAGTGCCCGTTAGTCTCAGAGTGATTCTTGCTGGGAGAAGATCTGGACCCTCTGCACCATTGCTCCCATGGAGATTCAGAAGTTATTTTAACACAGGTAGTGCTGCTGGTTTCTTCTTCCAGTGGAACCAAAAGCACAGTGCGAGATGTCCCAGGCTTGCAGATCACAAGAGCATCATATGCATGCCCTGTTGTTTCAAATGGGAAGCAATAGCTGTTGCAGTACAGGGCATCTTCTCCTCAGGCCTGAGGCATGATTTGGACCACAGATTCTTCACATCACTCTTTCAGACGTGGGATTTATGGAAGAGCCAACTGAAGTGCCTTGGCACTAAGACCTCTGCCATGCCGAGCCTTTCTTTCGTAATCTAATCCTGTGACTGCTGGTCCTACTGCTTGCTCCTTCCATCCAAGGATCACAAAAACGTTTATTAAGTCCCACAGCATCCCTATGATGCGTTATTATTGCTGTTTTACAAGAAAGGGAACTGCAGCACATGGCAATCGAGTCCTCTGTCCCGGGTCACACAGTGAGTCACCGTCACAGTCTGAAGCAGACTCTGAAGCCCTTCCTCCTTCACACTAACCACTAGAGCTTGAATTGCCTCAAAACCTGCTCACTCTCATTTACTAACCACAGTTTTGCTGCAGCTGCAGCCCTGTTCCATAGCGGTCAGAAACCACAGGAGGCATTTGCGTCCCAGTGCTGCTGCCAGGCGAGGAGTGAGGTCTGCGGTGAAGGGAGAGCTGGAGCATCTCCTGCCCCCCAGGAACCTTCTGAGATGAGGAAACTGAAGGCAACTCCAGATCTGTTCCATCCTCTCCCTGTTACCCAGCACCTGAAAGGTTACATCCAGGTGAATCAGAATTTCAAGCGCTATTATCCTCATTACAAAGGAAATTACCGAATAATAATTTCAAGAAGGGATTTAAAATTTCCATTTTCATTTTATTGTCAAAGTAAATATATTTTTTATGAAGAACAAAAGAAAATATACAGAATTGTAACTTATGTACACTGGTTTTATAGGTATTTTTTTGTTTCCAATTTACACAAATTTGATACGTTATTAAAAGATATTTTATATAGATATAGCATCTATGTACAGTTTTATTTACATACATTCATAGGATGTGATATAAACCAGTCAATAGATGATAGTTCATTTATATTAATTTCTAGAGGACAAAAGGAATGCATTTGCCTTAGCTAGACCTGCTGTTCTGGCACAGCGCGGGCTCCTGCTCTGCCTAGCGCTAGGATCGCAGCTTCCCATTTCCCATTTTGCCAACAAAAAGACAAACAGATGCCGCCTGCGAATGGAAAGGAAATGCAACATCCATTATGAAATTGCTCCTAATCACTGAATTCTATTTTCTCCTACAGCTTCTTACAATTGCCAGAGTTCAAAAGGAAAAAAAACAACAGAACCAAAACGAGAGGAAACACAAACACAGTCATTGCCTGCTACCATCTGATTATCTGTTTTAATTCCCTTCTTAGCCAGCTACCACACCAATTTGTTTCTTGTGGCTATTGTTCTCACCCGTTCTCCCACCCCAGCTGCATGGAGCTCTGACATGGCTGTTGGCAAGGAGAAGATCACCCTTGGACCCAGATCTCAAGGTGCTGTCCTACCATGCCACGATGGCTCCTACCCTCCCTTGGGTACAGGTCCATCCTACAAGACCCTGCTGGCCCGCAGACAGAGACTTTAGCTCCAACCAGCGAGGCAATGGCTCGCAGTGGATGCTTGGGATGCCTGGTGCTCACCAGGACCACCAGGCACCTCCAAGCTGGTGCTCTGGTTTCTCCCCCAAGATCACACAAGAGGACAGAGGCAGAGACAGGAATAGAGCTCAGCCACTCTCACAAACATCTTCCTGCTGCTTTAGTGCTAGACAACAGCTTGTCTGCTAAAGACAGTGGATGCTGCAGACCAGAGTCAAAGGAAGCAGTGTTTCCTTCAACACATTGGCATCCTTCACCCCACAGAGGAAAAGGACAGGAGAAGCATGCACACAGTATGCACTTAGCCACACCAAAAGGCTCCACTCCAAGCCATTTCATCCATCCTGAGCTTCCAGGTTTGTTTGGGATATTCCTTTGCTTAAATACATATATATATATATGTAAGTATGAATATATATACATAAATATTTATATATAGCGCTAGCCAAGGAAAAGGTAGATGTGAGCTGGAGAAACCAGAGAGGTGCAGAGGCACATTCCAGCACTCTCCAGGCCTTGCCTCCCCCTGTCCCCAACTCCCACTGTCCCTCCTCCTATAGCCAGCCCCCTACAAATCCTTGGCTCAGGCGACCCAAAAACAAAGGAGTTGTTTTCATTTCCAAAGGAATTTGCTGTTTCCAAACTGGACAAATAGAGCAGCTTAATAAAAACTCACAATGAATGGCCTGTACATGAGCAAAGCCCTCAGGAATGCCAGGGCTATAATTAACTAGCAGCAAGCAACTCTTACATTTTCCTGTGCAGCAGAAAACAGCTAAAAATAAAACACTGTAATTTCCAAAAGAAGCAGCAGCGAAGGAGGGAAAGATAGAAGGAAATAAGGAAAATAACATCCTTAAACAAGAAGACAAAGAGGAAGAAGCATCCCCCTCCCCTGACCCAAAAAGAACTTCATTCTCAAATCATCTTTAAAGGACATGGGACACTCGGACATGGTGGTATCAAGTAACAGCATTGACTGTTCTGTGGAGACAAATAAATTATCACTAGAAACGTAGTGAGCAAAGTGCTGTCGTCGGCTGCTGTGGGATGTGCTGGGCGGGAGGGAAGGGGAGAGCGGGCCCGGTCAGTTCACGGAGCGGATGGAGCGGTTGCTTCGCGGGAACCGATGCACCTTGACATGTTTGGACAAGTGGTCGCTCCGAGCAAACTTCTTCTCGCAGACAGGACACTGATAGGGCTTCACCCCTGAGTGGGAGCGCCTGTGCCGGGAGAGCTCGTCTGACCTGGAGAACCTGCGGGAGAAGAGAAGCCTGGTCAGGGAAATGGGGTTTACATTGCTGAGCATCTCACAGCGAGTCCCCTGAGGCCATTGGGACACTCCATTTGTGGCAAAGCCTGAACATGCAAACTGAAAGGGACACACAACACAGCTGGTCTGGTCCCAGCCAGCAGCAGTGATGGAAGGAAACACACAGCCAGCAACTTCATCCCACATCAAATCTGGGCTCAGAGCAATGTGTTTGTACCAACTTTGTCCTATACCCAATAGCACAGGTACAGCTTAACAAAACCAGCACTGCTCTTGATGCCTCTACCAGTCCCTTTCAAAGCCTGTTCCATAACCTCTCCCCTGCAAATCCAAGCAAGAACACTTCTCAAGCAAAGATAACACCCAGCATCCTGCATGAGGTCTGCTCCAAGCTCCCACAGACACAAGCACAACAGACACCCAGTAATTGCACCTAGCTTGAGATGGACCCACAGATAACAGCCAGACAGAACTCCCCAGAAGCTACATGGCTTATCAGATTCAGCAGAAACTTTGGCTTTTGTATGTACTCCCTTGGGCTAAATAAATAGCTGTTAACATCTCAGTACCGGGGATGCCCAACATCATAACGGCCATTAGCATAGTCACTTCATGGGTAAATTGAACTCAAGATTGAGCATTTCATTACCAGCAGTGTCTCCCAGAGTCATTTCCATTTGAGCTGGTTTGCACCTTCCACCTCCACAGAAAACCCCCAAGATAGCCACCCTGTCTCCTGAACTCAAACCAGTTAATCCTTCACTCTTAACAGCGGGGCTCTTGGGCACTGGGAGCCAGAGGGTTAACTGATAATGTCACACTAAAACAGCCCTGTCCAGATGGGTACAAAAGATTTGCTGCCTGACAAAGGGCAATGAAGTGTTTTGTTGCCAGAGCAGGGACAAAGAGGGGCACAGAAAGAGGGCTTGCAAGAAACGGCATCAGCTGTTTATTTACAATAAATAAATGAAGTCATGGGCACTTGCTGAATAAACGGGGGGGAAGAACATGTAGAAAACTGTGCCTTTCTGGAGCAAAATATCACATCACCAACAGAGCGAACACACTTCTCATGAGAAGGGGAAAACAGGGCCGCTGAGCTCCTATGAATGAGTCCTTCATGCAAGAAAAAGAAGCATCCACATGAAAGTTGCAATGATCCCTAATCTCCCAGTTGAAAGACAGGGCACAGGCACTGGGAAAGCTGGGAGTGTTTTCCTGGGTTCCTGCAGCTCTTCAGCCCAGTGATGCAACCCAGAGAGTGTTCAGCCAGCACAAAGCAGATGCAGATACTCGCTGTGGGTAAGATATGGTGCTGACACATCATTCCCAGGAGGATTTGTAAGGGAGATTCCTTCATCCTTTCTCTTGCCATTCTCCCTTTCCTTGCTTTGGTATCTCCATGATGAAGGACTCAAACTCACCATTAAGAGCAACAGGCAGATGCCCTAATGGAGCCATCAACCTGTTCCTTGCCTGGGACATAAAGGCTATGACAGAGGTTTCTCTTCACCCCTAGTAATTACACATTTGCTTTCTCTGGCACCCATGCTTCTTCCATCCATGGCTTCCCAAAACCACAGTCTGGACATGGAAGCAGCAAGGCCAAGTCGTTAGCAGTGAACTAGTCCCAGTGCTACATCCTTGGAGGGGGTGTGCTGTTGTAGAGCTATGGATGAGAAGGACTCAGTATCTTTCTGGAGAGGGCAGGATGTTGCCTGCCTCAGTGGGACTCAGTGCCATGGCCAGCAGTGGCAGCCACATCCAGGGAAAAGGGAATAGAGAGGGAAAAGCACCTTTGCGAAAAGCCATTCTCTTACATTCAGGCTTATCACCTGAAGAGTAAAACCAGATGTGGTTGGGTTGTCCCATGCCCGTGGCTATTGAGGTCACCATGTGCCACAGAAGTGCAGCGGCACATGCCTAATCCTGAAAGGGCTCCACAAGTGCATTTCGGTGGGAACTGCATGGATGGTGGGGGAGCAAGAGGCGCACGTCAGGAATGAGCTCGGATGAGTTCATCCGATAAAAATACACTGTGCCTCATAGCGATGTCCTTAGCTGAAGAGGCAGGAATGTTGCAGCGCTGTTCCCCAGCAGTCACGGAAAGATCAGCTTACAGAGCCCACAGAAATAAACCTCAAGCTGTTGGGGTGTTTACACAAAAACAACGCAAAGGTTAGGACAAGGAAGCCGGGAGGACCTGGTGGCCTCGCTCTGCAGTGAAAGGGTATTTGCAGCACGTTCTGGCACTGACATCACCCCAAGAAAACTGCAAGTAATCCCCAGTGGTATGGCAAATTCAAACAAAACCCATGTAAGAGCAAGGAACACTTCACTATCCCAGGTCACTGGCATTTCCAGAAGGATTCCTCCTTCTAATGGAAGATGGAGGGATTTGGGCAATTCCACAGCAACTAGAAGACTCTCCTTCATCCTTCTACATGGCTGTAACTACATCTCCCTTGAAGATAAATCCTGCAGCTTCCTGATGTGTAGGATGTGTCCTGTGTCTCCCAGCCATACAGTGACATTGCTGCAGGGCTCTCAGGGCAGGAAAGGACAATAGCTTCAGCCTGGTGCTCCAGGGTTCCTACCATGGCTACCAGCCATTGAGACTGACTCAGGCTGTACCTCTTCTCCACAGTGGAGAGGAGGCTCTAGATTCATTGAATGGTTTGTGTTGGAAGGGACCTTAAAGCTCATCCAGTTCCAACACCCTGCTACGGGCAGGGACACCTTCCACTGGAGCAGCTTGCTCCAAGCCAGGCTTGAACTTCCATATTCATCCTCCCCATCCCCAAAGCTCCACTGGGTCAAACCAGCACACCTCCTACACACCCACAAACCCTTTTGCACAGCACCAGCAAAAAACATCAATGCGAGACGCCTGCCCTGACCTGCCCCACACATGATCCTCCCCATGCTTGCTCGGTCCCATACATGCTCCCAACCACATGCATTATAAGCCTTTAAACCCTCCCTACCAAAGCAGGCAGAGCTTGTACTGCCCACTGTCATGTGCAGAGCAGGGAAGTGCCACCAGGCAGAGGATGCACAGGGCGCTGAGAGGCGATTGCCTCATCCCTCCAGCCTTACAACTGCAGCTTTGTACGCTGCTGCACCAGGGGAGAGATTGAGCTTGCCCTGCTCCATGCCATAACACAGCCGCTGGGGACCAGCCCATGCTGCAGCTCTGCTTTCTGGTCTCAGGACCAGCACTAAGCAGAGGTTGCTGTGTGCCAAAGGTATAAAGTGGGACGACACGGATCAGCGCGCCGACCGGTACAGTGTGGATTGAACGCAACGGGTCACCAGCCACTGATGAACAGCTCTGCAAGCGCTCAAAACAGCTCTTGCCCTGTGCCAAGGAAGGGCACAAGCAAACAGGGTTCAGCCTCCTCAAGAGGCTGGGGTGCTCCCACTGTCCTAGGGGTTAGAAAAGGGTTGCACCCCTACCTTGGTGCATTTAAAGCATGCAACTTCACCATAGCAGGGCTGCGTTAGCTCCCAGCTAGGGAAGGTTTAACCCACTCCACAGCTCAGACACTTGGTGCTAGGCAACACTTGGTCTTGGTTTCGAAATTGCCATCTTCAGTGAGGGCAGGTCTGAAGTGCCCTTGGTGAAAAAGTAAATGCTCAAGCACAAGCTTGCAGGGCAAGGAGGAGGAAAGCAGAGGCCAGCAGTGGTTTAGGGCTTAGATTCGTCCGTGCTGATATAAAACTGGGAGCAGATAGCGAGTCCAGATGCATTCGAGTGAAGTCATGTGAGATCACAGCTCTCGCTGAACTTCTGGAAAAGGTAAACAGGCTTTATTGATGAAAGGGGACTGGTAATGCAGAGCTGGACCGGGTCTGGCCTTTGATGTGGGAGCAGCCATGCAGGGGATGTGCCGCAATCTCAGACTGGTGCTAAGGATCGCTGTGAGCTCGGGAAGTGACTCCCCAAGCGCTGCCTCTCCTGCTGGCTATAAACCTCCCCCTCAGAGCAGAGCCCTTCTGAAGTTTGGGGGTCAGTGAAATGGAACAGGACAAACAGCAACAGACAGTCTGAAAAGCCCTTCCAGCCACTGTTTGTGCACAGCACACGTTCTCATAGCTGAGGTGATTGATTTCTCATCCCTGTTGGGATCCCCGTCTTTGAAAACGTGTGCCTGGCTGAGAGTGAAAGCTCAGGATGCTCCTGGATGCAGGGCCTGCACTTCTGTCCCACCTCACCCCTGCACCCTCATTGTGATCCTCACTATTCACTGCAATGCTGGCAGAAGGCAGGCATCCCAGTGTAAACTCAGTCTCCATCCCTTACCACGTCATGTTTTTCTTACATGTTCCCCTTGGGTTTGCAGCCTGGGGAATGCCAGCTTTGAAATAAGACAGGCCTGGAGAAGGTCATCCTGAGCCATAGCAGTCCCTGTGTGCACTGTGTAAACCTCAGCGTGGATCAGACAAACCCTCACGTGCTGCATGCATTTGTCACAAAATCAAGGGGTTTGCACACATCCCAACACCAAGGAAGCCAACACGACACCCACAGGCACGTTTGCAGGCAGGAGGCACATCTGCTGCCTGCACGTACTCTGGAAACCAAACCAAGAGGAGCGAGTGCCTCTACTGCAGATCAGGAGCAGATCAGCCTATATGGGACCAGTGAGCTAAATAACATGGCTTAATGTCAGTGCATCCTGAGCAGCCCAGCTCATGAGAAGTGCCACCAGGACAAAAGGACAGAGAATCACCCCCAGTTTGTAGAGCCACCATAAACCGAAAAGGGGAAGAAAATCAATGGCATTGATCTCAGAGGCAAATTTCAAGCTGGCCCCATTGGGGAGCACAGATTCAGCCCCACTCTGACCTTTTCCCTCAAACCAAGCCAGCCATCTCTAACTGCTGCGTGTCTCACATACTTGCATTTTTACACAACCCTCGCCTGTTACTTTTTACCTCGTCTGTTGCCCATGATCACAACCCATTTCCTCGTTAGACATTGCTCGCTAAAGCTCTGCAGGATAGTCTTTTGAGAGCAATGTGGTTTAACTTACTACAAGGGAGCTGAGATTTTGGTTTCTCCCATCCTCACTTGTGGTGCTGTGAATTAAGGGCTGCCAGCAGGCAGGCTTGTAACGCAGCTTATTGGAATGAGGGAGGAAAGCTTCCATCAAACTTCCCTTAATATCAAAAGTCGACTTTTAAAAACAGTTTCAATTTTTCAACTAGTATGAAAAATAATAAGTAGATAAATAAAATAAATCAGGAGATACCCTCTGAGAAACGTTTTGCTCAACCAAACTGCAATCTCCCATTCAAGCAATGCTTAACTCCACTGCAGCCTTCTGGTTCTGTTGCTGCATCTGACAGCTTTTTGCAACTTCAAGTGGCACCCACTCATCTTCCTGAATCAAGGCAGAGAATAAAGCCCCAGAGCACGCCAGGCTGTCACTGCCAGCATTTCCAGGAGTGGGATGAGGTATGTTTACCATGAAACTGAACAGAATACTGCTCCTAACCACAGTCACTCGCTTATCACAGCCCTTCAGTGATCACATTTAGCCCTATGCAGCCGAGCCACGTGCAGTGATTCTGCCCTAAACCATCCTAAACCACTTGCAGCCCTCAGCTCGCACCTCCTAAGGATCTGCTGCAGCCTGTGTGCTGCAACCAAAGCGATGTGAACATAAGGTATTGCTGCTGGTAACAAGCTTAACCTGACCCTCTTGGAGTGAAATACAAGCTATGATGAGCTAGTTTTGAAGACACTTAGGTGCCAGGCAGGGAATGCTCTGCTAGTTCATTTCTCAAAGCCCCTCCATCACCTAACAGGAAGGAAAAGGTCTTAATTCTCAAACCAACCGGGTAAGTTTTGGGAACAGAAACACTTTATAAACCAGAGCTCAAACCCACTTGCTCAGCAAGTCAGGTCAATGGAGTCAAAAGGGGAAGGGGGATTGGGTAGCGCTGCACCCCAATACTGACCTCCATCCGCACCCCGGCCACGTGCAGGCAAAGGGCTTTTCCCCTGTGTGCCTCCTCAGATGGGCTTTCAAGTGGCTGCTCTTTGTGTACATCTTGGTGCACCCCGGGAAAGAGCATTTGTGCATTTTAATCAGTTCTGCTGCAGGGTTCTTCTGAAACTTCTGCCCCATGATGATGCCCGTCTGCCCCGGGATCATGCCTCCTGGCCCAATTGGCTTGGCAGCGATGGGGACGGGAGCGATGCGGACAAACTTAGAAGACAAGTTCAAATTGGACGACTGAACTATCTGAGGCACAAGGGCAAATGTTTGTCCTTGGATGTTGACTAGGAGCTGGGCAATTTTAATGTTCTCTTGTGCTGGTCCTTGGGAAGTGGGGCTCGTGTTGGACTCCTGTTTGATCTGTACAGGCTGAATTTGGAGCATAACCGGTATCCCGTTCTCCAGGGACACTCCTCCGTTTGAAGCTTGGCCACCTTCCGTTGTTGAGCTGCTCGACTGTTCATTTTTGCTCTCTTTTAAACTGGCGCTGGGTGACACATGGTCTTTTTGCTGTAGCGAAGCAACAGAAACTTGGCTGCAAGCTCTCAAGTCCTTGGTCTCACTTTTAGGTCTTTCTTTGAGCTCCAGCTCCATGTTCTCCTCCAGAAATTCCTCAATTTCCTCAAGCGTGGGCTGAAATGGTCCTGAGTCTTCCATATCCACAGCAAATTCAGGCAACCTAAAGTACTCCTCTTTCACTATCGGCTGAAGTCTCCTTTTGTCCCACCATGACGCTGCGGCATTCCCCAAAGATGCCTGGGACAACAAGTAGTCTAAGATACTGTCCTGACTTTCTGCACTGGATGTGCTTCCATAGCTGGAGCTGAGAACCTGGGAGTCAGGGCTGGAACAAGAACAAAAGCTGGACGAGTCGCTGTCATCTTCAGACAGGGGAGAGGGCAGCATCTGGTAGGACCTCACCCCTGCCGTCATGTCCCCAAAGTATCCAAGTGGAGATCTTGTAGATGAAAAGGACTCATCAGTAGGCAGCAAGTGATCCACCATTCCTGGGCGATCTCTTATGGATATCCCAACAGCATATACCAGGCGGTGAAAGTTCAGGTGAGAGCCTGAGTGCAGGAAAACAAAACAGCGGCAGTCAGAAGTCGGTTTAATCATTTATCTCCATGTACTGAGGCTCGTAAAGCTCTCTAGCCCGCAGGAAAGGCCAAAGCACCCAGCCTCACCAAGTACACATGCTGCTACACGCTTTGGTACGTCTGTACCACCCCCTAAGGACTGTCAGGGCTGAAGCATTTCATGGGATTGCACCAGATACTTGCAAAAGAATTCTTTCAGAACTCATTTCCCAACTGGGTGCGCTCTGGATTTACAGGGTATTACTGGAGAGAGACAGTAGATGATGGGCTTTGAGCTAAGAAGGAACCCGAGAGCCAAAGGAAAGAATGGGGAGAAAAAAGAAAGTGTTGAAATCTGTACCACCAAAAAAAAAATAAACCACCCCAAAAATATAAAAAAGGAGGTTACTGCTGGCAGCCATAAACACAAATCCTTCCCTTATCTCTTGTAGATTTCCACCAACCTTATTTTTAACTTCCCCAGTTCCACAAATACAGGCTAATCAGCATAATGCAAGGATCAATCCGTCAGGAGCCAAAAATATTTACTGTGCTTCAGCATCCAGGAGGCGGATTTTCCCCTCCAGATGTAATGAATCAGTGTGCCAACGTCAGCATCACCTGCACTGCCCTTAATAAGGCTGGTGCTGCGCTGAGCTCATTAACCATGGGCTGGCAGGGTGGCTGGTGTCACCTCACCACTCCATACTCCAGGTACGGAGGTAAAGGTGATCCGAACCTTGTGCTAAACAGGGAGGGCTCATTTGACCCCCAGCACCTCAATGTGCTGTGACCCACAGCAAGTGCTCCCCATTCCCCCCCATTCATGCGGTCCATAATCCTGCTGCGACCCCATGGGGGCATGAGGGCAAAATCCATCCTTCCCAGCGCAGCCGACAGTCCTGCGCTTTCCCAGCTAAGCCATGCAAACTTCCTAGGAAGGTTTATGGGTAGGGGAAGGTGTGGGGGGGAAGGAATCTGCATATTTCCCCCCTTTCCCAAAGGAAAAATGAATAAATTGCTTACGGATGGAGACTCTGCCTCTTGGAGAGCAAAGGCAGCGCCCTCCAGATGGAGCGAACACTGGCCCTCAGTCATCCGCTCAAGGTGACTGATTGAAAACAGAGCTGTCCATGTGCATAATAAAACAACTCTTTCTGTGGAAGGTATGCGGGCTGCAGAGATAGGAGTCATTTGATCAGCGTATGAGGGTTTGTGTGTGTGTGAATTGGGAGGCATGTGACCCAGCGCGAAGGAAATGCCACTCAATCTTGTTACACGCTGTCATTTTCCACAGGCTCTGCCGCTTTGGACGCGCTTTGCCATGAATAGTCAATAGCTCCCAGTTCTGTGCAGGGAAGGGGATGGTTGTTACTGCTACTGCAGAGCATCCTTGCTGCCCCATCGCCACGTTTTGCCCTGTCTTTGCCTTCTCCGGAGAAGAATCAGAAGGCATCTTGGTGCTGCAGTGAATGCAGAGTGAGGTGTTTTACACAACACCCTTAAAGGGCTCCATCCCATTGGCAGCACTTAATAATATTTCATAGGAAACAGAGGGGGGGCTGGAAAACCCAAACCAAAACATGTTTCTTAAAGATACAGCTTCCTCCTCCATTCACACATGGAGGAAGCAAGGGGCAGATTGAAAGAAAGACTTAAAAGTGAGATTGCATACTTCCCTGGTGGGCACAGCCTGTCAGTCAGCAGAGCCTCTGACCCGATAATGGAATACCCACATGTGCCGAGCACGAGGAAGTTCACGCAGAGGTTAGCAGCTCTGCTTTGTGACCTTAGCCTATAATCATGTCTTATAGTAAAAGTGAAGAGTCAGAAGAGCTAAACACACAGGATGGGAAGTTCCCAGAGCTGGGCTCTTCCCAGCTTTCAAACAGAAAGCTCAACCTGCTGCTGAGAAGTTTGCATTGGCTTCCAGTCAGAATTCACCCGAGCAGCTTGCTCCTACCTCATGAGATGTGGGGCAGAAAGGAGGCCTTGCCCTTGGATGGTTTCTGGTCCTCCCTCCTACATCTGTATTGTTCCAGCTTGAATTTCTAAGGAATGGCGATTGAAATCTGGACTGAAATGTGGGGTTTCGGTAAGGAAAGCTGCATGCGGGGAAGCAGCATGCACTGAATGCAGCTGGTAAAGTTATTTAACACAGAAAGCTCAAGTTTTCTTTAAATGCCTGCAAGAACTAGGAAGCCACATACCAAAAGATCCATATATTTCACTGGGAATAGAGCTAAGCTGTAACTTGAATAAGGGCTTAAGGGGGGGGGGGAACAACAAACCCCCAGCAACTGCTGTGCCTGAGGTCCCTTGGCAGCGAGTAGCCAGCATGCATGTTCCCCATCTCTTTTGACAAGGAGCAATGTCACTTGGTGTAACCAGAGTCATTTTGAGAGGGGACTGTCAAGAGGAAAATAGATCCAAGAACACCACGGGCCAGATCTGCTTTCTGTGCACTCTCAAAACTTGCAGAACAGCCAAGAAGATTCTGGGGAATGCCTGGAATGCAGGATCAGGCCCCGGCTATATTTTATCCCAAAGGCCAGCCTAACAACCAGAAAGCTTTCATCCTCACTTTGCTTGAAGACACAGCCTAAACCAGAACCAAACAAACCCAAACAAGCCAGGGCTGTGCACGCTATGAACAGTGACGACGCTGTTTACATGAAGCACTTTCATCTCTAAGAGCCTGCAAACACCTCCATAGGGACCGCAGTGCCCAAGCCACCCAAAACCAGCCGCTTCTGGAGTGAAATACAGCAGCTGCTCAGCAGCACGGCTGCCTCCAGCGTTTAAGTTCCCTGCGTTGTTATGATGTCCTTTCTGCCAGAAACATCTTGTTCTGTTTAAAACCCATCGCCAGCTACAGAAAATAGCAGCAACCTCCCCGCACAAAACAGAGCAGAGAAGGCACATTCTGACTCAAAGTAACGTTAAAATGGAAAGTCCTGGGAACTTGCCTAGACACGGGATGTATTCCCCAGCCTGTCCCGTTCGGGTGGTCAGAGCAGCACAACCGATCCCACCACACCAGTTCAAGGGCTCTCATACACTGACACTGGTTTCCTATGTGCGCTGCCACAGCTTTTTCTAGTTTAAGACTGATCTCTTCAGCGTTTTCTCTTGTTCCCCCAAAGACTTTAAATCTCTTCAGGCTGACTCCTGCTCCGCAGCCAAACAGAGCCCTAAACCAGGCACTGAACCAGGCCTGGCACTTCTAAGAAGCTAAACTGGAAATGCATGGGGAGGGGGATTAAACCCCCCTTAATAAATAAACGGGCAAATGAACACAGACGGCAAAAGCCAGGAGGAAACGCGTTTGTGCCCATCTGTTGTGCAAGGTGGCTGCGCTGCTCCCTGGACACGGGAGGGGGGGGTGTTGTGTTTCGGGTCTCCCCGTTGTTTTTTTCCCAAACCAGCCCCTCTGGGAAGCTGCAGGCACATTCCCAAAGGCTCATTTCCCAGCGCTATCCCCCCTCCATCCCCAGATGTGGTTTCCATGCGAAGAGCCCCTATCTAAGCCGGCGGAGCCCCCCAAAGCAAACCCACACCTCCGGATAAAGCTGGGAGGGGGGGGGCAATTCCCACCTCATTATAATTGTTTTCGTGCCCCCTACATCCGTTCTCAGGAGTTTTGGGGGGTCCAATCCCCCCCCCCCAACCCGGCGCTGTCCCCTTATCGCGATACCAGGTATCACCCCCCTCCCCCCCCCCCAAGCCTGTCACGACTCAGCCCCAGCATGAAAACAACCCCGAACTCCCCCCCGCGGCACGGCTCTTGGAGTTTGTGCCGCTGCTCCCTGGTCACTGAGGGGGGTGGAAGATTAAACACATGCCTTCCCCACCCCCCATAACGGGGCGCAGTGGGGCCGCTGGCGCGATGCGCACCCGCGTAAAGCTCCGCGCCCTTCGTACACCCTTACCTGAACTCCTCTGCGGGCCGGGAGGGGGGGCAGAAATACCAAGAATAACACCAAGAACGAGCAGAAGGCGGCAAAAATAATGGGAAAAAAAAAAAAAACACACCCAAACACAAAACAAACAAGAAAAAAAATAAAAAAAAAATAAAAAGGAAAAAATCCCCACAAAATAAAAAGAAGCAAAAACTAATTACAGAAAACACAACGAATCAGAGGAATAAAGGCGCAGGACGGAGCGGAACCAGCGGCAGGAGCCGGGACAAGCGGGCGGCGGGCGCAGCTCCCCCGGGAGGCGGGTGCACGGCTGCGGAGCGCGGCCCCGCTCCCGTAGTACTATATCCCCGCTCCGGACGGGAGCCCGGCGGCGGCGGGGGAGGCCGGGGAGAGGCTCGACCGCGTCCGCTGCCCCCATTGGTCCCTCCGCGGCGGGGGCCGGACCGACACCGGCCTCAATGGGAGCCGCGGCCCCGCCCGGCCCGGCCCCCGCGGCGGAGCATGGGAGAGAGGCGGTGGCGATACGGGCCGGAGGTGGCAGCGCCTGCGAGCGGGTCTGTGTGTGTGTGTGTGTGTGCTTGAGTGTGCGAATCCATAGGGATGTGAGCTCCTCAGTTGTGTAGACCCATGGGGAGCGCGCTCCTCAAGTGTGCACATCCATCTGCTGCGGGGTGGGCAGATCACTGCGGGGATGCAGGCTCCTAAAATGTCCAAATCCTTGCAGGGATGCGTGCTCCTAAAGTGTGCAAATCCCTGCGGGGATGCATGCTTCTAAAGTGTGCAAATCACTGCAGGGATGCATGCTTCTCAAGTGTGCAAATCACTGCAGGGATGCATGCTTCTATAGTGTGCAAACCACTGCGGGGATGCGTGCTTCTATAGTGTGCAAACCACTGCGGGGATGTGTGCTTCTATAGTGTGCAAATCCCTGCGGGGATGTGTGCTTCTATAGTGTGCAAATCCCTGCGGGGATGCATGCTTCTATAGTGTGCAAATCACTACAGGGATGCATGCTTCTAAAGTGTGCAAATCGCTGCAGGGATGCATGCTTCTATAGTGTGCAAATCACTACAGGGATGCATGCTTCTATACTGTGCAAATCACTGCAGGGATGCATGCTCCTAAAGTGTGCAAATCACTACAGGGATGCATGCTTCTATAGTGTGCAAATCACTGCAGGGATGCATGCTTCTAAAGTGTGCAAATCACTGCAGGGATGCGTGCTTCTAAAGTGTGCAAATCACTGCAGGGATGCATGCTCCTAAAGTGTGCAAATCCCTGCAGGGATGAAGAGCCCTGCAGTTTTGCATGCTCGTGGAGGTGTGCACACTGCTGGAAGTGTGCAAATCCCTGCAGGGGTGCATGTTCCTGATGCTGCGCAAATCCCCGGATGGGTGCACAGTCCTGGAAGCGTGCAAATCCCTGGAGGGAGGCACTTGAGTTCTGCATGCTCCTGAAGTGTGCAAGTCCCTGCCTGGATGGATGCGCACAGCTGGAGCTTTGCACGCTGCTGGAGCTGTGTGGATCCCTGAAGGGGTGCAGGCACATGGACCTGCAGAGGCTCCTGGAGATGAGCAAAGCCCTGGGAGAGTGCAAGCCCCAGCCCCTTTCCTGCTTTCCTGTCCCCCCAGTATTGCAGTCATTCAATAGTTTTTCATATAGATGCATACACTTAAATACATATATACACATAAATATTTATGTGTATAGATATATACACACACACTCAGACTGTGGTTATGCAATGTTCAGCATGGACCAGGACCCATATTTAACTTCCGCAGAGGCAAAGCCCAGCAGAGGAAGCTGCAGGGGAGCCAGCTGCAGCACCAGGGAGGTTTTCTGCTCAGTCGGTGGCTTTTCCCATTCATTTTCCCATTTTTCACATCATCGGGAATGTGCACTCGGGGATAGCGGGATGCAGCCTTGTGACAACAGGTCTGTGCACCCTTTTGAGGGCTGTGAGGATGGCCAAATGACCTGGGGGTGCTCAGGGCTCTGCTCTCCTGCACAGACCTCACTCTTCCTAACGTTGTCTCCATGAATAATGCACAAATCCACACTCATCAAATTCCTAGATACTATATTTATACAAGTACATCAGGGCCAAGTTTTGCATTAGCGTAGCTTCACTGATGTAAAAAGCATTACATTGGTGACAACGCTGGTCTGAAGTATTTTTACCCAAAATAGATTTTTGGCAAACCTTCCTTTTCTGCTTTTTCTCAATTAAAATCCTTTATTCCCCATGTAGGTGAAGTTTAGCTTGATGCAATGCAAAGAGATACAGATAGAGCTAAAATCCCAAGCCCCCGAGAGTGGGCTTAAATGGAATTTGAATTGGCAGCTGTACAAATAGGAACCTCCCTGATGATGTTTATTACCACTGAAACAACCATCAGTTACAATCTCAATTTTCATAGAATCATGGAATGGTTTGGGTTGGAAGAGAGCTTAAAGCTCATCCAGTTCCAACCCCTGCCATGGGCAGGGACCCCTTCCACTGGAGCAGCTTGCT